TATACAGGGTGATTCTAAAAGGATGGGCAAAATTTTAGGAAGTGATAGTACACACCCAAGCAAACAATTTTTATCAAAGAGTGCATGGTCGAAAACAAAACGCAAAACCGCTAGAGGGCGTCAAAGTTTATGTTCCTATGTGAGGCAAAAACACACAAAGAACGATGAAGTTATAAAAGCAAATTTAATGGCATGTGATTACAATAAGTGTTCAAAACAGTGGCTGGCAGAGGCTATGCACGCAGTACAACGGCGAAGAAAAGATAGGTGAACATTCTGAAACACACCAGGCATATCACGAACTTTCCCTGCAGCGGCTGAAAGCTTGGCGACAAGTAATGCAGCACAGTAACTCGCAACAGGAATGGAGCTTTCACGTTTGCATCAAACAACTTCCGAATGCGCCAGCACCTTTGCGTTTCGTTTTCGACCAGGCATTCTTTGATAAAAATTGTTTGCTTGGGTGTGTAATATCACCTCCTAAAATTTTGCCCATCTTTTTAGAATCACCCTGTATATAAATAAAGGGTTTAAAGTCATATTTTACTACTTAGGTACTTGCAACTTGATGCGAAGTGAATATGAAAAGGCATGTGATTTGAATCAGATTCAACTGGATACCTATAACAGACGTCACGCAGGTGTGTCGAACCCGATTTATTTCTAAATCCACAAATGCTGTGATTTACCTACCATGACGTCACTTGCAGGTATCCAATTGTACAGATCAATGAGTGTTTTTGACGATTTTTCCAGATAAGCGATAGCACGTGTCTGTGTATTGAAGAAAAATTATGGAAACTTAAAAACTTTCTATCTGGATATAATTCTTAGGAACAGTTTTTGGTATAATTGTTACCTTGGGAGAAAAAAAAAATTACCGTATCACTATTTTTGCTCAAACTCCCTCACAATTTTTTTTTTCAATTTTAAATGCACGTAGTATCTTCTTACATTTTTAATACATTCCATTTCAGAAACAGCTATGGGAGTGTCAATCAACGCACAAGAAGAAGGATGCAATGAATACGTGCAAGCAGTTCATGAGTAAGCAGCGTATAACATATTTCATTGTTTCCAAACTTTAATTTCAGAACTTAAAAAATTTTAAGTGATAGAAATACACAAAGCAAAATAATCTCTAGGGCATACGGGAGAGCCGTTACGGGATAGAGCACTCGCTTCCCAATGTAGTGAAACGGGTTCGAATCCAGGCGGTGGCTGGTCGATTCGAATTCCACACCCAGCTCGCACCAACCACAGTGCTAACGTGAAATATCCTCAGTGCTAGACGAATCATGGTTTAGAGTCCCCTTGCCGTCAGGCTAACAGTGGGAGGTTTTCGTGATTTTCCTCTACATGTAAGACAAATGCGGATTAGTTCCATCAAAAAGTCCACCAAATTTCTCTTAATACTTGACCCAGGAATTCCCTTATCTTCTGGATTGGGTCAAAATTACAAGGCTACAGATTTGAACACTGGTAGCTGTAAGCCTTAAATTGGGTCGACTGTTCAACTATGGTTATAAAATAAAAAAAAATAAAAAGGGCATAAGGGATACCAGGTGATCGTGGAATCAGAACTCTGAAAAATAATTGCTTGTCAGCTTACTTGGAAAACAACTTGTAAATGAATTATAGTTTGTTTGACGCTTTTTTATACTTTTAAGCTCTTTATTCAATCTAATGTGTGTGTATATCATATACTCAAATTAATAATTCTGTGTAAGTGATAAGCACAATTTACAAGCAATCTTCATATCCCCTTATACTTTTCAAATTTCTTTTCATATGGTTTAAGTTTAGAGCTGTATCTTTCATAGATTACGATTTGAATAAATTCTGACAAAATATAAATTATTTTATCAGTTGCTTGATTCCGTTAAACGGAATTTTAATCTAATTAAAAATACATTCTTCGTTGTGGTCAAAAACATTCACTCAATAAACAGTAATAAAAAAAACATTTGTCCGTTTATCTATCTATCTATCTATTAGATTAAGGTCAGGTGAATTTGAGGGCCAAGACATGACTTGAAAGTCACTGTAATGTTCCTCGACGATTCGACCCGAATGACATGGTGCATTATCCTGTTGGTAAACACCATCGCCCACAGGAAAAACTGTTGTATGAATGGGTGAACCTGGTTTGCAACTATGTTCAAGTAGCTTACAGACGCCAGGGATTGTTCTATGAGGATTATGGGTCCTAATGTGCCCCATGAAAACATTGTTCCTGGGCGAGAAACCATGAAAACCTTGGCGAACCCATTATTATAGATGGAGGTTGGTCATAATGTAATGGCTCTTCGGTATAAATATATATATATATATATATAAAAAGA